TCTCTCCTCCCGGCTTCCCCCAAGACCTGTATGGAAATAAGTATGTGTCTGCCAGGGATCAAATGCTTTCGGAGACAAAAGTCGGCACTGAGGACGTTCCGGGGACTGTCATCTCCGCACGGCGCTGCTCCACAAAGCCCTCGCTCCCCGTCTGGGCTGACACAGTTTCAGCCTGAAAGGTACCAGCAGGCCAACTTGGTTTTAAGCAAGAGCACATCCTATTATTTTTTATTTTTTTTATTTTTTTGAGAAATGAAGTGTAAAATTAACACTTATTATTCCCGAGCAGAGTTGAGAGAAAGACACTGGCATTTTTGTGCTGGCTGGGTTGTCGGGTAGTTTGGTGGCGGTGTGTTTTGTGTTTTTTTGTCATTTTAATTTTGTAGACATCGCAGTCGATCGCTGGGTTCCTGGGGTCGGTCCCCACTTCTGGGGGCTGGGAGGCAAGATGGGGCACAGGGAGCTGGCGAGATCTGCGTTTCGCTTTGCAGAGGAGCTGGGCTGTGGCATTCACTTGAGTTGCGAGGGGCTCTTAAGGATGCTTGTCATGTACTGTAAAAGAGAAAAAGAAAAAACAGGACTAGAAAGGAGAAGCGATGGTATGTCTTAGCTCTCTGCCGCCCCAGGCCGACCGAGGTGCCTGCCTGTGCCTCGCGGGTCCCAGAGCGCTGTGTGATCTCAGGATCCGGAGGGAAAGTTGTTCTCTGAGGGTGCTGCCGTCTTCGGAGCCTGAGACTTGGGACAGAAGGAGAGGTCGTCAGCGGGGGTGGGAGGCAGTGCCGGTGGAGGCGAAGTCTGTCAACATCCAGCCGGCTTACCCGGGGACACAGGTGCAGGGAGCATCACCCTCTAACTAGGGCAGCCCCCGTTTTCCTGGGTGGCTTTATGGGCAGAGGTGCACATAACAAACACCCCAGGGAGCACCTCCAACCCCTTCCAGTGGGGACAGGGCCTCCTCCTTCAGAAAGATTTGCAAATCCGAGGGTCTGGTCTGGAAGGGGAGGCTTCCCAGGTATGTGGGAGCCCCTCAGGCATTATTATTGCACCTCACTCTGTTTTACTGGTTTTATTTTCTGTCTCCCGTCTCCTCAGGTTTAATACTTGGGGGAGAAGGAGGAAAATTGATCTAATTAGCCCGGAAAGCCACATCCACGCCGGCTGGGGGCTCTGATTTGTTGACACGGTGGCTGCCTAACTGCCGCATATTTTTGAACGCGGGTGCAGGGCGTAGCTGGGCCGGCGAGTCGGGGGCACCCGCTGACGGGTCGCCCGGCACGTGGAGGACCGAAGGGGACTGTCAGCCTGGTGCCTCCATTGCAGGAGCCCCTTTGTCCTCTGAGTGATTGTGTCAGACGGACACGCTCCGTTCACGGCCAAGGGGATCCAGGTCCCCGCTCGGCACCAGCAGTAAACCCTCCTTTGCCATCTCAGCCCGGGCTGGGGCTCTGGCAGGCAGGGGGAGAGGGCCTGCCAGGGACAGCGCTCCTCTGTGAGTGTCTCCCCGGCCCCTCCTGTGGGCCCCGGCAGGGCGTGATGTTTCGGGGCCGGAGGAGGAGACAGCATCTGTGCCCGTAGCCCAGTTGCTAGGATCAGAACGGCTCACAGGATGTGGTCCGACGAATGCAGGGGGCTCTGCCCGGGCGGGGGCGGCTGTGTGTGCTGGCAGTCAGGGGAGGCTGCCCGGAGGTGGTGTGCAGGTGGATACGCACAGGTAGGGAGGCTTCGCAGCCAGCTGTGCTAACTCAGCGAGTGGTCTGATTCACTGCGCCCACTTTTCTCTTTTCTAGAAATGTGGTTTTCCCAGCGAGCAGGGTTAATTCTGAGATTCAGCTTCTGTTCCGAACTTACGCTATAAACGGTCACTGAAACCTCCACACCCTCGTTTTCACGCACCCTCTGCCTCGTTCACGTCCGGGAGGTGTGCCCCTTGTGCCAGGAAGGCCGCGTCTGAGGGCACCGTCCCTTGCGTGCGTGCGTGCGTTCACGCATTCGTTCCTTAGACCACACTCGATGCCAGGCACGGAGAAGCACCGTTTGTGGGGTAGGGGGTGTGTTGGGGGGTCTCTGAGGCAGCCCCCACACTGGAGGCCATCTCTAATTATGCCGACAGTCTCCCCGTGGGGAGCGGAGAACGTGTGCGGGGCCCGTGCGGCGAGCGTGCGGAGCCCGCCCGGTCCCTGGACTTGTCAATGAGCTCCTTTTGCGCCTGGGTCTCTGCCGGGTGCCGGTGGCCTAGTTGTCAGGGCTCCAGGGCACGACACACGCCCGGCAGACTCAGCCAGTGGGCTATGTGGGACAGGCCCCCCACACTGGCACGCGTGTGCGCGCGCGCCGCTGTGGGGTGCCCGGGCGGGGGCGGGGCGATGGTTGGGCCGGGGGACCCGGGGACTGGCCAGGAGCCTCAGCCCATCTGTGTTTGTGTCTTGCCCCTGGCAAAGCCCTCTGCTACCTAATTCTTGCCTTTGAGGGCAAATCAGAGCACCTGGTGCCCTTGGTGAGGCTGGTTCCCTGGGGGAGCCCGAGGGGAGCCAGTGTCCTTGGCTGCCCCAGATACCGTCCCCACTGATACCCACGGAACTGGCAGCAAGCACTTACTGGTCACTTGCTGTGCCGGGGCTGGTCAGAACCCCTTTTCCTCTTAATTGCTGACAGTTACTTATTTCTCACAGCAACGGGAAGAGGAGGCTATTTGGGGGAGTAACTTGTAAAAGACAGACTTTATTTTTTTAGAGCAGCTTTAGGTTTACAATAAAATTGAGAGGATGGCGTTACGGAGGTTTATTTCCCTTGTAGCCCCTCCTCGCACACATGCTTCTCCCCTCCCCCATTGCCAACATCACCCACCAGGGTGGTCCTTTTTGTTTTTCGCAAAAGTGAACCCTCATTGACACATTATAATCACCCAGAGCCCATCGTTTGCCTTTGGGTTGTACCCTCTATAGGTATGGACATGGGTAAAGACACGTACCCCCCATTATATTACACAGAACAACTTCACTGCCCAAAAAACCCTCTGTGCTCAGGTGTCCCCCTCCCCCCCAGCATCCACTGGTCTTCTCTGTCTCCATAGTTCTGCCCTTTCCAGATTGTCATCTTCTTGGAAGCACACAGTGCTGATCAGATCAGTTTCTTTCACTAAGTCCTACGCATAGAAGGTTTCCCCATGTGGTTCCATGGCTTGCTAGCTCATTTCTGTTCAGCGCTGCATAGTATTCCATTGTCTCAATGTTGCAAAGTTTCCTTATTCATTCATCTGCTAAAGGATGTCGCGATTGTTTGATAATCCAGAATACACTTGTTATAAACATCTGTGTGCATTGTGTGTGTGTGTGTGTGTGAACATACGATTTCAGCTCATTTGGGTAAATATAAAAGAGCGTGATTTCTGGATGAGTCCGTTACGTTTTTGTAAGAAACTGCCAAACTGCCTTCCAGCCTGGCTGCACCATTTACGCTCCAGCAGCGGTGTCCCTGGGCTCTACGTCCCCCCGCAGTGGGCGGGGTCAGTGTTTTGGAGCTTGGCCGTGCCGGCAGGCCGGTACTGGTGAGGAGGAAGGCTGTTAATGAGCCTTTGAGACAGGAGGAAGCTTACCCAAGATCACGCAGTAAGTGGCAGAGCTGGGTTCCAACATTGGCTGATGTGATGGTTAAGCTGATGTTCTCTGCCACCCCCACTGACCACTGGGCACCCCAGTCACAGGTGCCAGCCCCTTTCATCTGCTCCCAGCCTGGAGGCAGGACTTGGTGGCCCTCATTTACCAGCACGAACGGACGCTCAGGCCATATGGCTTGGAGAAGGCAGGATTTGAACTCGGGCCTGTGGATTCTGGGCGGGGGCAGGGGACCTCGGCTCTCGACATGGACGTGAAGCTGGTGCTCGGGGCACCTCTTTCCAGGGAGCCTGGAGTGAATGTTTGGGGTCACAGCAGCTCCGAGGTGGGGAGATGGAGCCGTGTTCTAATCTGGAAGCAGGACAAGGTGTCTGTCCATTGTCTGCGAGCCACTGGGTAGACTATCTGTTAAAAATATAAAAAAGAGCCCTGGCTGGTTTGGCTCAGCAGTAGAGCATCAGCCCGTGGACAAATGAGACGTGGGTTCAGTTCCGGTCAAGGGCACGTACTTCACTTGCGGTTCATCCGTGGTCCTGGTCGGGGTCACATAGGAGGCAACCAGTCGATGTGTCCCTCTCACGTCGATGTTTCTCTCTCTCCCTCTGTCTCCCTCCCACTCTATCTGAAGATAAATAGAAAAACATCCTCAGGTGAAGATTTTATTTATTTATATATATATAAAAGAGCAGTTTCTTGTTTCTGTGATACCTTCCAGTTGGCTGTCCATCCCTCTGAGAGTCAAATCCCAGGATTCTTCAGTGGCCAGAGGCCCTTTGTGACAATGCATCCATGTGTCCCCTCTGATTTCCATAAACTCTGCCCTCTGGCTCCTTCAAGCTGGCCCAGCACGGGCTCGCCCCAGGGCCTTTGCTCTGACTCTCCCCTGGACAGCTCCCGTGTTCTCACAGTACCTCCTGACACTGTCATGTGATAATCATCTTGACGTACTGTCTGCTTTCCTCACCATTCGAGTGGGGGGTGCATATTGTCTGTCTTGTTCCCCCTTTGTCCCCCCAAATCCCCAGCTCAGAGTGCTTGGTATATACTACTTGCTCAGAAATATTCTATTGGGTTTTTACAAGTCCTGATTGGACTCCCTTCTCCATAGGACCCCGTCCTGGGGCCCTCTCAGTGACACGGTCTTGGGTTCAAGCAGTTGGAGGTCACCTGCACAGCTTGTCGCTGGACCAGCAGTAGAAATCACAGCAAATGACGCCTTCTGGTGACAGCTGTTTGGGGCCGGCCCCCTGGGGTCTGTAAGCCTTGGGGTGGCTGGACCATCTGGGGGCTCACACGGCCCTGGTTCTGGGGCCGGGGAGGCCGGCCTGAGGCGGGGTGCGGGCTGCGGCGGCGGCGCGTGCGGGTGGCTGACGGTCTGCTCCCTTGCAGAGGAAGGCATCAACCACGAGTGCAAGCTGTGCAACCAGATGTTCGACTCCCCGGCCAAGCTGCTCTGCCACCTCATCGAGCACAGCTTCGAGGGCATGGGCGGCACCTTCAAGTGCCCCGTGTGCTTCACAGGTAGGCTCAGCGCAGAGGGAAGGGTCCCGGGCAGAGGGAAGGGTCCCAGGCCTCAGCACATGCACCAGGCCTGCGCGGACCCCGGCTCATGGAGAGGCTCCGAGGGGTCCCCAGCCCGCTGCCCTGGCTGCCTCCCGGCAGACCTGCCCTGTGTCCCCGCCCCACACCCTCTGGCCTCTCCTCGGAGGCAGGGGTGACCTCCCCTCGCCCCCACTCAGCTGCTGCAAGTGTTTTGCTAGCCCAGCCTCGCTCTTTGGATGGCGTGGGCTGCAGGTCACCTCTGTGTCTAGTACCGGAGGGCTCTCCCTTCACACACCTCCTGGCTGCCCTCTCCCCTGGCCCAGCCCATGTTCCATCCGGGATCCAGGCTGGGGTCAGGGGCAGCTCTGCTGGCCAAGCCCCCAGACCCCAGACTGGCTGCTGGCCCAGGCAAGTGGCTGTCCCAGCCCAAGTTCAGTCTCAGGGGCTCTGCTGGCCCCCCTCCTGCTGCCCAGATGGCAGCGGGTGTGCTTGGGGGGAGCCTGGCCTTCCCCTGCCTCTCCCAACATCTGCCGTCTGCCGCAGCACCCTGGGGAGGGTGCTTGGCGGGAGGGGATCTCTGGAGTGCTCCCCTCCCAGACACACAGCTGCTTCAGGGCCGCCTTCTGTGTGTGCCCAGCGCCTGGGCTCTGGCCACCAGGAGGCCGGGGCTGCGACCTGCTCTGTGACAGGCCTGAGGAAGGGGGTCTGCTCTGGGGAATGTCCCACACTCACAGTCCTTAGGGTTTCTCCCTCCCTCTCAGGAGCCCCCACCTGTCTGTCAGCATCACAGACATCACAGAGGCGGGGGGGGGGGGTGGTGGTGGCTGGCTCCAGGGGCCCCAGCTGCTGGGTCTGCTGGTCCAGGACACCGGGCCCTGCGTGGGGTTCTGAGAATGCCGACACCACCCTCGACAACAACATAATCGTGTTTATTGAGCACCTGCTTACACCCGATGCTGTGCTAAGCTTGTCTAACTCAGATCTGGGCTCTGTCACTTGCTAGCAGTTATTTCATCTTCCCAGTGCCTCAGTTTTCCCTTCCAGAAAACGGGGGCAACAGCAGCGCCAGCCTTACGGGCCTGTGGGCAGGCACCTGGCAGATGATGGCATTCACTGGGCTCATCGTGTGCTGGGCCGTCGTCCAAGCATTTTTCAAGTTAACCCCCATGATCTCCCAGCCACTCAGGAAATTGCCACATTTTAAAAGTCCCATTTTTCAAATGAGGATGTGGAGCCCAGAGAGGTTAAGTGACTCGTCCAAGGTTGCACAGCCCATAAGGGACAAAGTTCGGCTTCCCTGGCTCGAGCCCCCCCTGCTCCCAGCAGCCTCCTGTTTGGCCGTCTGTGGCCATGCTGGGCGGTCCCCCTTGGGACTGGTGCAGGGCCGCCCAGGCGTCTGGGCCGGGGTCCCGGTCCTGCCCTGACGCTGTGTCCGTGTCTAGTCTTCGTCCAGGCCAACAAGCTGCAGCAGCACATCTTCGCGGTGCACGGGCAGGAGGACAAGATCTACGACTGCTCGCAGTGCCCACAGAAGTTCTTCTTCCAGACGGAGCTGCAGGTCAGTGCCCCGTCCGCAACGTGCCCTCTGGTGCTCCTGGGCCCACCGGCCCTGAGGGCCCCGGTGCAGCCGGGATGGTGGAGTCAGGGTCCGCTCCCACCGACTGGGCTCTGCCCTTCTCTGGGCAGCCCCTCTGAGCTCCAGCAAGTCTCCGTATTGCTCACACAGCTGTCACCTGATCACAGGGTGGGACAAAGTTATGGACCCAATGAGAGGGGCCCAGGCCCAGAAAGGGGCTCCCGCCAGCACGGCAGTGACCCCTCCCTGGGCCTACTGCTGACTCCCCGCTAATCTAAAACCGAGCATGTGCCTCTGTGCCGGGGTGGTGAGGGGACAGCTGGCTGGTTGTCTGCTTTCCTGTGACGAAGAGGCATCGTGTGGGTGCCTGATCGGAGGCCGTCCGGGAGCCTCCTTGCTCGTGCACTGGCTGCGCCGCCTCACCTGCCTCCCACCTGCCTTACCTGCCTGGCCCAGCTCCCGAAATGGGTCCGGTCCCCAGCACGCAGGCCTCCCTGAACCCCAGCAGCGCACGGAAACTGCTTTACTTAAACCTGGGATCTGCATCGTCCCGGAAGCCAGGACAGGAGGATGGCTGTCCTTGGGGGCTTGCGGGTCTGTCCCAGACGCGTTTCCCGGTCCGCCTGTGCCGGGCTTCGTGGGCTTCGTGGTCTGGCGTGTGCAGCCTCCACCCGACCTGGCTGCACCCCTGCCTGCAGATGGTGCCAGACACCGGGACAGTTCCCGGGAGCCAGTGGGCTCCTCGGTCACCTGTCAGCCTTGCAGGCAGATCCTCAAGTGCCGAGACCCTCCCTCCATTGTGGCCATGAGAAGTCACCATTTCCTGCAATTAATGATTTTAACTACAGACCGTTTAAATGTTGCAGTATTGTAGCATCGCCAAATCTATGCAAATCGTGACTTCGTTAAGTAGTTGGAACAGCAACTTTCTGGACTTTGGAGAGGAGGGTTTTCAGGCAGAGACGTTTCCGTTGCGATCCTGCTGAAGCTGGGGCTGGCGGGCACGTTGACATCCCTGGGGTGACGTGTTGGGGTCAGAGGGCAGCCCGAGGTGGGCCTGGTCCCCGCTGGGCCTCGGCTGGCTCTCACGGCCGTGTCGGTTGAGGTTCTCTGGGGAGACTCGGAAGCGAATGTTTGTATTCACGAGTGACGTCAGGCTGGGAGGCCCTGAGAAGGTGCAGGGCCAAGGACTGTGCTCGCTGTCACGTGGGAAACGCCACCGGGACCGTAGGTGGGCCTGGACCCTTTGAGGCTCTGCGGGGTCAGCCATGTGCCTGCCTCCACAGGGAATGTTCTCGGAGGATGAGGGAGGATCTGAGTTCACCTGGAATCAGAGACTAGGATTAATTTAAAGGACTTTGGACAAATTGGGGGCCCTCACAACACAGACTGGAGCAGGGAAGGGAACTGAGTTTTGATCTTCATGTGTTCAAAGCTTGTACATGGAGGGCCCGCCGGGTGCCGGGTTCTCCATGTAGGAACTGACAAGACAGCGATGAACGGAACAAAGGAACACCCGAGGGGCCTCCATTCGAGAGAGCTTGGTAGACACTGTCCAGTAGTGCAAGGACATGAAGGAAACAAAGCCAGGTAACAGGCCAGAGCATGGGTGGGGCTAGGTGGGGTCCTCCTTGGTAAGTGTAGTCAGGAAGGTCCTCTCTGAGAAGGTGACATTTGAGCCGAGGCCTGGGTGGTGAGAGGGAGAGAGTGTATGAAAGAGCCATGCAAAGGCCCTGTGGTCAGAAGGCGCCAAGAGTATTGCTGGGACAGCAGGCGCAGTGTGGCTGAAGCACAGAGAGTGGGGGCTGGTGGGAGGGGCTGGCACCCAGGTCTTAGCAAAGTTTGCAGGGCAGTGAAGGCATTCGGATTTCACCCTCTGTGATGGGAAACCCAGCAGGGAGAGGTGTTATCTGACGTACACCATGCATCAACGTTTAAGACATTTTAGTCTTTGAAAGAACACTGGAGTGAATGAGAAGTCACAGACTTGGGAGAAAATATTTGCAAGTCCCATATTTGCTAAAGGACATATTTGTAGACAGCATGTATAAAACAATACTTCCAAAACTCTTGAATGGCGGGGGGTGGAGGGAAGGTGTCAGCGAAAAGTGAGCAAAAAACTTCAGCTCTTCACCAAAGAGGTGTGGATGCTCAGCATCATTAGTCCTCAGGGATGTGGGGGCAGGAACATGACATTAAGCCACTGTGACTGAAACCCCACGGAACAGCGACAGCACCGGGTGCTGGCCGGGGTGCGGAGGAGCGTCGCGACTCCCAGACTTCGCTGGTGGAAAGCAGAAGGGCACAGCCACGCGGCGGATTGTTCGTGGGTTTCTTATGAAGTTACACCTGCGTGTGACATACGACCTGGCAGCCCTCCTCCGGCTGCGTCCCCAGGAGAGCTGCAGACGTGCTCCTGCAGCCTGGCCGCGGACCAGGACAGAGCTCGTCCTCGCGGCCCCTGCGTGTCTCAGCCGTGGAGGCGTGGGCAGGTGTGCTCTGTGCCTGCAGTGGGCAGCTGCTCGGGGATGGACAGCAGGAGCCGGTTCCTGCAGCAGCGTGGAGGGGTCGCGACCGCCAGGGGAGAGCCAGACTCCGAGGGCTGCACTCGGGCTGCACCTGCGGGTCCCGCTCATACGATGTTCTGGAAGCAGAGATACTGGGACGGAAAACAGGCCAGTAGGTGCCAGTGGACAGGCTGGAGGTGGGGGAAGAAACAGAGGAGACTTCACAAGGTTCTCCTAAACACACACGCATACTGTGCACACACACAGACACATACACAGGCGTGCACACACACACACACACACATGCACGCCCTGAGAGCTCGCAGTGTGCTGGGCAGGACAGACTCAGCCTGATTTCACATGCTCTCTCTCTCACACGTGCGCGCTCTTGCATGCACACGCACACACACACGCTCTCATGCACGCACACACATGCCCTGATAGTCACTGTGCTCAGCAGGGTGAACCCAGCCTGATTTCACACACACACGCACAAACACACGCACACACATGTACACACACACACACACCCCGAGAGTCATAGTGTGCCAGGCAGGGCGAGCCCAGCCTGACTTAACATGCACACACACACACACACGTGTGTGCATGCATACACAAACTTACACACATGTACATGCATACACACACGCACGTGCACACACGCCCTGGGAGTCACAGTGTGCTGGGCAGGGCGAACCCAGCTTGACTTCACACACACACACACGCACATACACACACTCTCACACACACACATACACATGCACACACACGCCCTGAGAGTCATAGTGTGCTGGGCAGGATGAGCTCAACCTGACTTCACACGCACATGTGCATGCACGCAGTTACACGCATGTACATGCATACACACATGCCTGCACACACGTACACACACTCTCTCACACGCACACACACGCCCTGGGAGTCACAGTGTGCCGGGCAGGGCGAGCCCAGCCTGACTTCGGAGACCTGGAGGCCCCCTGCGGGCAGGGGACGTGTGGGCACAGCTGTCGCCAGCGCTCGGCGCTCTGGCAGGGGCACCGTCAACATGCTCCCGTGTCGTGGGCACAAACCCGGGTGTGGGTTTTGGTCTCTGACGATCCCAGCTCAGGCGTGGCCTCGAGAAGATGGGCGTGTCCATTGCAGGGGCGCGGTGGGCTGGGAAGCCAAGGGCAGTTCCCGTGGTCCTTCAGGGCAGGGACCTGCCTCGCCTGGCTCCGACTGGTTCGTCTTTGTGGGAGGGCGGCCGGCGCAGCCCCGACCCCTGTCATTTCTGCCGAGACGACGCGCCTGGGTGTTCCAGCGGGCATTCGTGTGGGGGTTCGGCTGGACCAGTGGCTGCAGCGAACAGCCAGCGTGCAGGCCGCAGGTCCTGGAGCCCTGAGGGGCTCTGCTGGGACCCCGTCAGCTGCGCAGTCTCCTGGGGCCACTCGGTGCAAACCGGCAGGTGGGGGAGCGAGGCTGGTAGACATGTCCAGTGTCCTGACGTGGGGAGACCGTCTGCACGCGGATGAAATGACAGGGGGTGAGGTCCCTGTCGGGAGATGTGAGCACTTGTCCGAATGTGGGGGTGGGCAGGAGCGCACGGCATGTTGAGGGGAGCGGCTGTATGCTCCCTCATTTGCCAGCTCTGGGCCTCAGTGTCCCTGCCTGTAAAGTGGGGTGCTCATTGCTTCTGCCGCATCGTGTGAGGCCCTTGGTACGTGGCCGCCGCAGGAAGAGTGTGCCCGCCGCTGCCTGCTGCCGTCATTCCCACCGTCGTGATGCATGCTGTTAGCGTTAGGCGCCGGGGGTCAGGTGATTCCTAGGGTGCCCGCTCTCAGGGCCTTGCTCATTTCATGGCTCCGCCCGGGGTTTGAACAAAGTGAGGCTCCGAGTCTTTCCTCTGGCGCCCAGCCAGCTGTCAAGGCCGTGGGCACAGGAGACCCACACTGGGCAGGGCCGGGGCTGTGTGGGCAGTGAGGCCAGCGGACAGGGCCGGGGCCTGCGCCCTTCCTACGCGCTGCTGGGTGCTTCGGCCCCAGCCTTTCTTCTGGACCCTCCTCCCCCCTGTGCCCGGGCGGGTGGAGGGCGGTGTGCAGCCTGGTTGGGTGTGAGACACTAGACCAGAGACCCCGACGGGTCAGGGCTGTCATACTCGTGTGTGCAGCCTCGGGCCGTGGCAGATGAACGCCTGGGGCCCTGGGCGCCCCTTGCCAGAGTGCGCTGACCTGAGAGGAGGAGCAGGCTCCGCCCGCGCGGCCCAGCTGTCTCTGAATCCCCGCGGGCACCTCTGTGCCCACGGACCCTGGCGCAGATGGCACCTCCTTCTCCTCCCTGAGCGCCTCACTGCGGCCCCCTCTTCACCATCACCGGGGAGTGTGCTGGCCTCTGGCACGGGGGCAAGGACCCTGAAACTGGACAAGAAATAGAGCAGCCGGCACCCCGGGGTGGACCCTGCTGCAGGCCGGGCCCTGTGGGAAGCATTTTGCCTGGACC